GTGACTTATTACAGGAAGGCCACATGTGCAGGATCCCATGAAGCCTCTCCAGTGTGCTAATAAAGCGCTGCGTGATCCTGTTGACACTTATTAAACATGTTAGTGTGTGGGGAATGACGTCCGCACCGGGATCTGGGACTACCTAAATCAAATGCAGCCATTTTTAGTGTTAAAAGCTTCAAAGACCCTAAAACCGTCGTTACTAACCTGCCGAGGCAAGAAAGGGACGGCATGTGAGCCTAAAATCAACTTCCGGCCACCGTGTTTTTATCTCATTATCTGTTAAACCGTGCAGGCAGATAACCGAACAAACATTTACTTTTACTTGATTAAAACCAAACGGTTTACACATCTTTTATTATGAAATCTGCTGGTTTCCGGTGTACTCAGGGAAGAGAACGGCAAACTTGACGCTTCTCCCTAGGTAGGCTTTGCGTGGTCACGTCGCTGCGCGGGGGTGTTGTGGAGGCGCACCGCACATCTGGACTGCGGAACCCCCGCAAAAATACACTATTTAAGAAGACACGCATCATTGTGTGCGTGTCCCTTAATATTTCTGAGGACAGTGTAATCTACAGAATTAATAATAATAATAATAATAATAACAATAATAATAATATTATTATGTCATTACATTACATTCTCTCTCCACATTACATTTGTGGGGAGACAATTTGCAGTTTGGTTTGGCCTTAGTGTTCATAACTTGAGCCTTGAGTGAGAATGTAGAAGTCTCTGAATCCCCCTGGGAGTGTCTCTCTCCTCCTAGTTTTCCCACTGAGCAGATACAAAAGCTGTATGGACTACACACTCGCTGAAGACAAACGAGCTTTTTGTGAAAAACAAATGTGGTATTTGTGCCATCGATGACAAACGAATCCGTCTGCAGGGGAAAGAGAAAAAGAAAAGGTCTTTGCGTGTCCGTACCTGTTTTTTGGCTGCATTGGGATTTTTAATTTCACCTGCACTGCTTCATCCCCCCCTAACACCCCCCCCCCTCCAAACCCCGCCGCGGCCACCCCCCCCCCCCTCTGAATTTTAATTTATGACTCCGTGTGGAGACAAGCGTGGGAAAATAGCTACTTGCAGATTGAAGTTCGCACGAAACACAAAACATCTGGAGCATTTGTTTTGTTTTAAGGATAAACGCACCTAATTATTGTTTCTTGTTCTCAGACACTAAAGACACAGTGGAGCTGTTTCACCTGCCATTAAGTTGAGTGTAATTTGGTTGTAATGTAACCATGGTAACATAGGAAAAGAAGTGACTCCAGGGCAGGTGGAGGATAGGAGTCTGAACACAGGATTATTATTATTTATTTATTTTTATTGTTCAATAAGCCTCCAAGGGGCAAGAGGCTTTAAGTTGAGCCTGTATGTAATTCCCTTTTAAAACGGGGGGAAATGCATGTGGAGGATTTCTGTATCCAGCTGTCCTTTGTCAGATATTGTTAATGTTTATCTAATGCAAACATGCTGCGGTGACAATAACAGCCCAGCATGCAGCGACATCTCAGCTTTAGTGCACAGCTGAAAGAACGTTTCACTTCACTTTATCGGCCGAGCTCAAAGTCTGAAAGTCATTTAAACATCTACACCAAATTTCACACTCTGGCTCCGTGTTGTTCACAAAACGCTGATGAGATGGTAACAGATATAAATGATAGAGAGTTTGGTGAACCCCATAGTCTTTGATAAGTAACATTATTCTGTCTTTTGTGCTTTGCTCCTTTAATGTAGTTAGACCTGTCCTGAAGCATGCATGCTGCTCCAGCAGAGTGTACTAAGATCTTTTAACACCATATAAAACATATGAAGGCATGTGCCAGGTAACACGAGGTGATCCGCATGAACAGTCTGGTTGGGTCACTAGTTCATGACTGGGCCTTGGTGGACAAATGGATTAAACCTTTGACTATAATAATATTCTATATCTGAACTCAGTCCATCTAGTAGATGCACAGTTACAATGCCAAAGCCACAATACCTGTTTCTGTCAAGATGATCCCACACGCTTTTAATAAACTTGAAGCTCTGAAGAGGCCGGCCCATGACTGATAGTGTTGCACTGTGTGTTTTTCTATTCAGATATGCTTTTACTGCAATGACTGGGTTTGGGATCATTGTTGTGCTGAAAAATGAAGTCATTGCCATTCAGAATTTTCCCAGACGGTATTGTATGGTACATCAAAATTTGATGGCAATTTTTTTTCCCCTTCCAACCATTTTGGCAAAATCCACAACAACATTGACTGAAATTCAGCCCCAAACCATGACAGGGGCTCCACCATGTTTTACAGATGGCTGTAGACACTGTTGTGCTTCTATCCTGTTGATGATTTAAACCAAACCTGTTACATTTGAATTAATTGATCAGACCTGTTGACTCTGATTGTCAGCTCATGTGTTGTAAAATTTGGCAGACCTCAGCCTTTTCTCTCTGTTTCCCTTCCTTAAGAATGGCTTCTTGACAGTTGCCCTTTTTGAGGAGAATTCAATGAACAGTAGGTGGATCAACTGGACTGGACTGCCAAGGACCAGCTGTATCTATCAGGTCCTGTGTCAGGTCATTGTTTGATTTTTTTTTTTACTACTTCTTAAGGTCATGACTTTCAGATACTGCTTATCTGCTGTAGATATTTTTGTTTTGTCTTTTTAAATTCCTGCTACTTCTTCTTTCATCCTCCTCTCGCCCAGTTTCCTCAAATTTTTTAAGGAAGCACTACACACCGTGTTGAGATATGCTGTTTTTGGCTAATAGTGTTTTGGGAATCACTTTGTTGGAGCAAAATATTATTTTATGTTTATCAAACTGTGTTATATTCAATATTTTTCATAGATTCAACAAAAGAAATTAGAAAAAATGTTTTTGTAACAGGCTGCTTTTAACAAATTGTCCAAATATTCAATTTAAAAGCGGTTCCTTGTTTTGTTGGCTGTTATGTGTAGACGCAACACTGGTTCATCCCTTCAGTTAGATGGCTTTTTGTGCTTGAATGATTCATAGGTCACTGCTAAATGGCGTAATAAGGATCTCCAAAAATAGTACTGACCAATTACAACCAATTACCAGAGAAAAACTTTAAAAAGACTTCCTGAAAACCCCAAGAACTATTGCTCAAGACCACTTTAAGTACTGATTCAAATTCTTCACTCAACTAAAAATGAAAAATGACAGGCTGTGAAGTAAGAAAGTAGCTCTTTTTCTACCACATTTTTCATTTATTTATTCTGCAAAGCTAACTGAACCTTGTGCTGTAATAATGTAATAATAAAATACTATCAGAAGAGGGGAATAAAAACTTAGCCTGAATCAATTAATTAGAAAAACAAAATCTGGGGAAAAGAAGGAAAATTTAAAACTAGCTCTATTTCCTTTGCTTCTAAACAGGAACATTGGTACAGTCAGGGGTTAAAGTGAGACTCAGCAGGTAAAGAAAGCCGAAAAATCAGTTTAATGACTCAGCGTGGGAAAAGAAGCACAGCTCAGATTTCCTTAATCTACATGCTGTGTCCAGCTGACCTGCTGCTCTTTGTAGAGTTTCCCTGGCTGACTTCCATCCTCTACCACTGACTGGATACTGTCAGTGGTAACTTTTTCCTAGACACCCAGTGTGCACAAGTCACACACACGTTAAACCCATCACAGTGCAGCAAATCAACCTGTTTAACCTGCACTAACCTGCAGAGGATGTTCATGCTACCTTTAAATAACACAGTTAGCCACAGTTTGTTTTGCACGTTTCACAATATGAAAAACCATAATGTCACATATACAGACCCAGTATCTGATTTAAAAACATGAGGAGCTACATTTAGGCTTTAACTTTCCAGTTTATCAAACACCACTGAGCCGTCTTTACTTTTAAATATAACCTCTCTTCTTCCTCTTCTGTCTTTCTTATCTTTCTCCATCTTCGAGTGAAGTTAGCTCTCTTTCTTTTCTCTCCCTGTCAAAAACAGCAGTTGGACCTTTTCATCTGTTTGTGTGCAGATAACCTATGGATACTGCAGTCGTCTCGGTGCTGTACCAAAAAAAAAGAAAAACAGAAAAAGAAAATACAACCCACTTGAACCCCTGACTTTGCCACACGATTGTGCCTCTTTGGTCTCTTTCTATCCTCTGGTGACTAATAAACGAAAAGGATTTTCATGTGTTACTTTTTAGGCTTGATGTTTGAGGGCCAGTGACCCCTCAAATGCCTTAAAACCAAAAATAACGAGTGTGTTTTGAAAATGTAAGGAGTAGAAAGTCCAGATATTAGTTTAAAATTGTAGGGAGTAAAAGTAAAAAATAAAAAAAACTACTCAAGTACAGACACCTGAAAAGTCAACTTAAGTACACTAACAAAGTATTTGTACTTTGTTACTTCCCTCCTCTGCAGGTCACAAATGTTAATAGGTTTCTTCCTCTGGGTAACACAAAAGTAATCGGATAGTTTTTGAGACTGACTCAGATAAACATTGCCATTTTTAAATCCTTGTCACAAGCACAGCTTTGCGCCCTTAAAGAGAGTAAATTGTCATGTAAGGCACTGCAAATTCAACGCTAGGAACACTGCGTTGTTCCAAGTGTTTGTGTTGATTCAAGAACGCAAATTTAAACTTGTAAGTGGTGTGAGAAAGTGTTTCAACAGAGTTTTTTAAGGCAGCGTGACTTTTGTTGGTCGACAGAGACAAATAAAGGATCTTCCAGTTGATTTGGTTCAGATAGTGGCAAAGTAGCAGCAGAAGCTTAACGAAGCGTCATTAATTCACAAGTTATTAAGGTGGATGGTCAAATATCCACAGACAGAATTAAAGTGCAGAGGTTATGAAGCATGAGCGTGTTCTGTATGTGGAGACTAAGACTGACAGCAGGGGGAGGCAAAGGTCCTGTTGAACCAAGTGGCAGTTTGATCCTGTTTATGTCTGTTAGAGAGTGTGCTGGTAGCACAGTTTCACTTTAACGGCATCATGAGAATCCCTTATCAACACAGCTTGAAGGGTTTACATCTGAGAGAAAAGGGAGCAAAAAAGTTAAAGTTGTTTTTCTCTGATAAGTTGAATCACACAAAAAAAGACTTTTCTGTTGGGTGAATCTGAGACTTTTTGGAAAGAGAAAGAAAGAAGTATCAATTTAACCTAAACTCTCTGCTGTTCAAAAAACAATATTGGTCATAACCAACCAAGTGAAGCTAAAGTTGGATGTACTTCAGTAAAAGCAGGAAGAGTGTTCGCCTGTTGAGTCACAAAGTTTACTATCACACTTTTTTTAAGCTCTTGTCAGCAGCTATCTATTTTCAGTCTGAGCTTTTACAGGAAATATTCTAGTTTCGTCTCTTTTGCTCAGTTCCATGATTTCAATAAAGGGAACTTCAACAAAGCTAGCGAACGGTGCTTATGATGAACTACATGATTACGCTCACGCCGCAGACCTTGACCCACAACACTGAAGCAGCACTTCAAGGTAACATGAGTGTTTTTATTGACTTAACCTCTGCTGCTTGACTTGGCTTACATAATCATATTGATTTAACATGTCAACTTTGACTGTTTTGTTCATTTTAATCCATTTTATTGTGTTTTTTAAACTTGTATTCTTAATCATATATTTATAATGTTACATTTTAACAGTGGAAGGTCTCTAGTTTAGAATCAACCTTTAACTTTCCATCTCAGCTATACTGCTAAACACTGTCTTGTGCTGTAGTTTGACAGATTATCACATTATTGTTTCAGCCATGCTTTTTGAACCATTTTGTTTCTTTATCCATAATTGCAGACCATGTATACCAATGGCACAGGAGGAAATAACACAGTCAGTGACAGTTCCTCCAACTCTTCTACAAATCTAGGAGTCGGGCTTGGAGTCTTCTTTTTGCTGCTTGCGATCATAGTTGGTGTAATCATTTATAAATTCTACGGTATAATCGCCAATGTGATGCCGTTTAGACAAAGAACAGCGCAAGAAAAGGAGGATCACTCAGAGACCCCACAAGCAGATTCCCATGAATATACTGGTATGATTCGAGAGCAGTCAATAGGACAATCTTCTATCTATGAAAACCTGAAACCTCAAACTTGCGGCTACAGCATGGCAGCTTCAAACCAAAGCAGGTGAGCTGCATTAACTGTTTTTTCTACGTGTAGACTTTCATAAAATGTATTTCTTGGAACACTTATGAAACTGCAGAAGCTCAAAAGCAACGGACGGAAGTGGATTAAGAAACGATGTGTGTGTGTGTGTGTGTGTGTCAGTTTCCCCATTTTGCACAATCCTGTTGTGATATAGACAAATACAGAAACCCAAAGACTTTTACAGTTTACCTAACGAGACTGTTTTCCATCACATTTACTGTTTTTTCAAAGGTTCCCAGTCGAACCTGATGACGACGTGTACCTGCAGTGCGACGTCATAGATGAGGCCATATACATTAATGACCAATCACATGACTGTCAAGAAGAAGACGTGTACGTTTTGCCAGATTAATCACGGGACACATTTGTAGAAAGGCCTGCGCATTTTGCTCCAGTTGTTGTATGCAGCAAGCCGTCTCTTTTGATTTCTGTCTCTGTTTTTGTATAACGATGTACAGCTAAAAGTCAGCATACTGCTACTGCTGCTTTTTGATACAGACTGACTGTAAACAGAAATGACTGGATGGTAGCAACATGTCAGTGTTATCTGTTATCTCCCATTTTGGAGGAGAGTAACAAACCTTTTTTTTTTTAATTTAATCCACTCCCTCCTGGTACGATTATCTATGTTACACATGTTTGATTGCTACTATTATTGGCACATCTCATATCACAACCACGCTGGAAAACACTGTACAAATTTTGACAGCAGTCCAAGGTAATCAAGTTTGTGATTAGATTAGATTGTTTTATGGTGTTCTCTTGTAGTTACAGATGAGGCTTTACTTTGACCTTTGGAGAGAAGTGTGGGCAGTCTATCTGAGGTTTTGTGAGTCGTGTGTGTTCAGTATTGTCCTTTTTCTCTCACTGGAAATTCTTCACTTGGTCCTAAATCAAATCTAGAAACATTTAACTTGCGTAGATATTGACATCCTGTTATGTTTTTAGTATTTTGCTAAACAATGCGTCCAAAATAAATCCAAGGTTTTAAAAATCAAACTACAGATATGGATATGGACACACATATCTTTGGAATTCCCCTTTTTGTGCAAAAACGTTTAACTACACACTGAATCTTTGAGATATCTTCATATGAGAAAAAATGAAGTGCAGTTTCAACAGTACATCTCAGTTTTCTGCTGGAGTAAAGAAAAAAATATACTAACATGAAGAAATAAATGTGTAAAATTACCTAAAAGGTTCTGGCAGATTATTGCAAAGACTGTCCTGCAATAATAAAGCAAAGTCATTTATTTTTTTTAGTTTTGTTGTTTTTGTTTGTTTTTTATTGTGGACCCACTAAAAAAATGCTCTCAATTTCTATCAATTAATTGTTTTTCTATAACTTAATTACTTTTAGCGCAGTCTAAATGGCCATGGGGGAGGTCTCTATCAGTAGTTAAAGCTGTAAAACTAACAAAAAATACAGTGAGAAGTCCAAAATCAATGCTCTCCTTCACATTTTCCAGTGGGGCTGGATTGGAGTCTTGGGCGTGCCAATTCTGGCCCCCAGGACTTCAGTTTGACACCCCTGGCCAAACACAGGTTGCAGTGGTTTCTCTGAATTTTTTTCCTGTTTGAATAAGGAAAACTATTTTGCTGACCAAGTCATCATAAAATTCAGCAGCAATTTAAACTAAAGGTCATGTAGTTATGGAATAGCAACCAGCGGCGAGACCAATCATTTTTCATATCACAGACATGATATCATAGTATATTTACCCTAGACAAAGAAATATGTGTGCTTTCAAACATGTTATCACGGACGGACAGACAGGCAGACACGGCACCCAAACTTTTCTCTGTGGTTGTTGTTGCTAAAGCAAATGACTCAACAGTTTGTTGCAGTTACACACAGACGCAACTCTGCATGGTGAAAACATTACATGCTTTAGACCCGATAAAGTTAAATGATGTTTCAAAATACTAAAACTTTTATTTAAATTAGAAATTAAAAAAGGGACAAGATAAGTGAGAAGCTCGATGGCTCCCACGTGATATATTTCTGGGATTTACTCTAGCGTGGGAGTGTAAAGGCAGCCAACCAGATGTGTGGGATTTATTACTCCAGTTCATGCTATAAGATGCAAGATAAGATGCAAAGAGCAGAATTTAAAAAAAATTCTTATCACTTTCCTTTAAAATGATAAGCCAATGAGGCTTTACAAACACTATATTAGGAACCAAAAAACTCATGATTAGTAGTAACTGCTACACAAAAATGTTCATATAAAACAGAAAGCATGTGGTTTATGCAAAGGCAGGAAAAGATGCAATGGTCAGCACTATTTTATCTAGTCTGTGGGTTGTCGGCTTTTTCAGGCGCGAGGTCCAGAGAGGATGTGAAAATCTGTCGTTCTTTTTACAGCTCGAGTCCAGATCTGCGCGGATTTCAGAGAGCAATCGAAATATGAAAGCCACAGAATAACAAATGAGGTTTGTGACTGTGTTTAGAGCGGTTAGGTGAAAATAGACTGGGAGGATTATTTTTAGCTTTGGTTCCAGTTATTCTGACATTAATTTTGCTGATTGTTTTCCAGGTAGGCTATTTGAGGATCTGAAGGAAGGGAATGCCCAACCGAAAGCCTGTGTGTCTCAGGCCACGCACACACACACAGAGCACGGTTTAGTAAATGCTCTGCTTGCTTGTATCGTTTGGGTGGAATGCAGCTCAAAACCTTTCAGCACATGAGAATGAATGCCTTTCCATCCATTCACACATGACTGTGTAGCAACCCTGAAGATGTCATCTTTGAAACAAAGCGTTAACAGGACAAAAGCTAAGAAAAGAATGAGCAGTGACTCAATTGAGAGGCCCAACAGATGTTCCAGTAGGTCTGCTTAATCATCTATTAACTCAATGAGCTCAGTATGTCCCACTTTTTAAAAAAAGCTCGGTCTATTGATCGCAAAGCAGCATGGGCTCCTGTTTAACTGACCTTTATCCCTTTCAAGATAAAAAAAAAACAAAAAACCTATAAAGCACTTATTACAGCCAGTTGTGTCAAGCCAGATATCAATTTGCTCACTTTGTACCACAGGATATGTTAATATTTCCTTTTCACCCTAAACCTTGAGCTGTAATTATGAATTCAGGGTTTTTTTAAGCTTCTTTTAAGTTATTTTTCAAGTTACTTGAGATATATACACACACACACACACACACACACACACACA